CATTCCCTACTTTACATTTGCAGATAGTATCAACGGTATCTGTAATTGAAACCGTTCTATGGTTTATGATTTATTCATGAAGATCTGCAATATCTGAAGTGAAAATTTATACGGTTTCCGTACTACTTGTTTTCAATAAAGTAACGTTTTATTGTAAAATATATAAATATTTACTTCTTTGAATAAATAAATCTGGAACTTTATTTCACTACGCCAATATGTAGATTATTCACCTAATATTAACATATACGAGGTTAAAGGTCATCAGAATACTCTGCATAAAGACGAACTTCTGTCAAATTGTTCATGGACAGCTCTTCAACACTTCAAAACCCTAAAAGAGGTTATTTTTTGTTACTCAAAACTCATATTTAACATGTCCAAATTAGGATTTGGTTAATGTTTTTTGCAGGGAGCATAAGTGCTTATATTTTAGCATTAATTTTTTTAGGTTGATTTCATTTGTTAGAAATTCGAATAACAGGAAAAAATCCGAACGAATAAACGAGTATATAAACAAATCAGTCAGTTCATACACATAAATCCATGTTTTTCTTCTTTAAAAATTTCAACAAATATCACGAAGTACGTATTAATATGAATGTCGATTGGGCTAATTACTTACCATATAACAAGGCTAAACTGTACACATACTGGTACATTATTACCAAACAATTTCGTAAAATAGTTTATATCCTAGCTCGTCGGCTTTTGTTTAAATGGGCATTCTTTTCAACAATTTAATTTCTTTTAAGCTTTGATTATGTCTTAAACTAAAACAAGTTTCAAACCGTATTTTATTTGGAATTTCCCTCAAAACAATCTCTAACACTTAAAGGAAAAAAATCTTAAACGTTATAAAATCGAGTATACTCGAGAGTTTAGTATTCATTACAACAATGAATAAAATATGTCAAGCAATTGGAATGTTCCTTTTATCTCCGATTCTTCCCATTGAGATTTGTCTCGTCAATGGAATCGTATTTACCTAAACTTCTTGTACAGCTAGCATATATTCTTAAGAACACGAATGTTTTCTCATTCCATACAATAAGATAACATGTTGCTTTGCTGTCAATCATGCTATTCTTTACATGTTTCATGACTGTTTGTTACAATGCCTAATGGAAAACTCTGAAGGTTTAGTTACAACAACTGTCATAAGTTCACCATGCTATAAATATTGGTTGCATTAGAATGTAGGTTAACCGCTTTCAGTAGCTTAATTGATGATTATTTGCATGCAAGATTACATTTTGTATTTTCGGGCAAGGGAATGTTTAATCTCCAGATTTATACACCCATTTAAAGATCAAGCATCTATTTAGAGTAGTAAATCTTTCCTACATAACATGTACTTGATTTTAAGAGCTTTAATGAGAAGCAGAAATCTACGGTGGCATAAAGGTGACATGTGTGTGTGTGTGTTTGCATTTATCTCGTGCGCATGAGATACTATGTCGTGGCCACGAGTTACTTAGTCGTGGGCACGAGATAATTAAGTTGTGGGAATGAGATACTATGTCGTGACCACGAGATACTATGACGTGAACAAGAGTTTCTAGGTCGTGGTCACGAGATAATTAAGTGGTGCGCATGAGATACTTTGTCGTGGCCACGAGTTACTTAGTCATGAGAACGAGATAAGTAAGTCGTGCACACAAGATAATTAGCCAATCACATTACACTATGACTTTTTTAACCTAAGAACAAATTCTGTTTAAAGTTTAACATGCAACATTTATCTTTTAAAATACTGAAGTGTTCACTTTAAACTTGATACATGTCATTTAGGATCATATTAGAAAGTCACCTTCTAAGGCCCATCAATCAGACATTAATTTTGACTTAATTATAGCCCTTTGTGGGGACAATTCTATGATGGAAATGGTCAGTTTGTACGTACAACGGCCTTTTAACCTAGTTTTACGATAACTTGAGAAGGAATAAGTTCTGTTTATTTTATTTTGTGGGGGCATTGCCCATAAACAGTAGATAGCCTAGGATGTTTGAGGTCAAGGTAAACATGACACTTCATGTAAAATCATTGTCTGATGAACGATTAAGAAGAATTAAGCCATGGTTTATATTACCTAGAAAGATCATTGCATCTGACAAAGTATCTTATGCGCACCACTTAATTATCTCGTGGCCTAAACTTGGTAACTCGTGGCCACGACATAGTATCTCGTTCCTACGACCTAATAATTTCGTGCCCACGACATTGTATCTCGTGGTCACGACATTGTATCTCGTTCCTATCACTTAACTATCTCATGGCCACGACTTAGTAACTCGTGGCAACGACATAGTTTCTCTTTCCCACAACGTTACCATCTCGTTGCCACGACTTAGTAACTCATGGCCACGAGATAGTGCGCACGAGATGAATATATCTAAAAACACACGTGTCACCTTTGTGCCACCGTAGAAATGGCCTTGATAGTAACGCGATCATTAGGTACGGTTTAAGCTCAAAGTATGCTACTAATTACTAATTACTAGATCAATATCTTAGATGTTTATCCAATGTTTTCAGATAGATACTGAAAGGGATTTACGATGAAATGCGTTGAAAATATGTCATTGTAATTCTAATAAAAATCAACATAAATCTTCAATATTTTAAATCTGTTTTCTCTCACACATCATCATGCTAAAAAAGGGAAACAACTGTAAACATTTGATAGATCCCTACACTGACATTTCGCCCATTGTTTTCTCGTTCAGAGCACATGCATTTTTTTACTTGGTGACCATATGCCGCTTTTCATGGAATGGCACTAACGTGTCACATTGAAGGTTCCATGATAACCGCCATATGAACACATCTGCGGATGTTTCTTAATTCTAAATTTTACAAGTTCATGTTAAATGTTGAATTCTGCTTAAGCCGGTGCTGGGGGGCGTGGACGGTAGTTTGCACTTTACAGTACCGTCTTTGAACAGGCTCAATCAAACCGAGTCTGCAACATTTTCAATTTTGCCGTGTTTGGCTTTCTTTAGGGATTCTTATTTCTCTCTATTTCATTTGAATTAAAATACATACAACCACCATTATTCTTATGTGCTCTTTTGTTAAATATGTTGTTGTTTAATTCTTGTTTTATCCACTTATCTGATATTTTGAATTGGACAAGTCAGGAATCTATGCATGACGTCAATTAAGCGACACCAACAAAGTCAAAACAATTCAGCGTAAAATTAGCTACATTGAATTGTTTCTCTTCATATAAATAATATCGCTGTTTCATGACTTTAAATTGTGTGTAGCTATACTAATGCTATAAAAAACCTTTAATGCAAGAATGTACCCATATCTTTTCCTTTCCTACAAAATGTTCAAAAATGTCTTTTACATAAAAAGTCATCAACAAACTTCGAAACGTGATGTGTTTCTATATTTCGTCATAGACAAACTTGTTTTGTCCTTTTATACACACACATCTATTAAATTATATTTTAATCTTCGTTATTTAATTACAATTTTACATGTTAAAACTGCTACTTTACCATAAAAATATAAGAAGCTTAAAATCAGCGGGAGGGTTTCTTATTAGATAAAAAATGTTTGGAGTTCAATGGTTTGACAAAAAATGTCACGGTACGACATTATTAACTATCTAACCCGTACGGTTTAATATTAGACCCTGATAAAAATTGAGTCAAATAAAAAAGACCTATATTAGACAGTGTGCCTATAACTTAATAAGTTTTATACACAATGGAACTACAATATATTTATTCTTTATCAATTTATAAAAAAGTATTTGGGAGAAGTAGGACATTATTTTATGGTCTAATAAATGAACTGTTTCATTAGTTACTTTCGTAGAAAGAAAACTAGCTAAAAGTGTGAATATTGCAAGGGCTTATGATAAATTAGACCGTTGATTTATATTGTAATGTGAATGTCTAATTTTTAGTTTTGCCCAGGTCATGACCTGATATAATCTCATGTGGACTAATTTGATTTAGATACACATTTACATTGTCATTATTTATCATACAGTCTCTTAACGAGACACCTGTCTGGCTTATATAACTGTATCTAAATACGTGTTTTTATAATAATAATATAAGAGAACGTTTGAACCATGCCTTTATCTCGCTTGATTGGTAATTTATACAGGATATTGAATGCGTGTAAGTATAATACTGAATATATTGAACGAGTTGAATAAATTTATATTATGCGAGCCTCTGGCGAGCATGATATTATCTTATTCAACGAGTTCAAGAAATTCAGTAATGAACTTAAATGAATTTAATATTTTATTTATCACCAGAAATAAAGACTGTTTAAAGTGAAAAAGCGTCATTTTTCATTGACGCGCATATAGTATAACGCTAACATTTAGCGCGTCGTTACGCTATGTTTGTATAAGGCAAATGACGTCACATCAAAATATATGCACGGCCGTGCAATACCATATTTACGGAGTCGCAAAATCGGCACGGGTGTGTGATAAAAATCATTATCACAATTGTTTGTGCAATATACGTTTTGGGGCGAGAACATACATGTATATAGCTTAGGTCATGATATTCAAACCAATCTGTGCTTTGTAATATTTTCTTTCCACGTTACAGAGGAAAATGTAATACGTAGAACATTAGAAACATACATGTTAAGTCTATTTTCAAAAAGATACGAATATCAATATAAAAAGAAAATTACAACCGATAATTCTTTGATACATTTTATTTGTAATTTAAGTAAACTCTACTTTCAAAAAGATACATATATCCATTTTAAAAGAAAATTACAACCGACGATTCGTTGATACCTTTGTATTTGTAATTTAAGTAAAGTCTACTTTCAAAAAGATACATATATCATTTTGAAAAGAAAATTACAACCGACGACTCTTTGATACTTTGTATTTGTAATTTAAGTAAAATACAAAGACTGACAAAGATATGATCATTTCGTCGTAGGATAGAAATTACATCATGATAAATGAATAGTTACTGTTTTAAAATCAAATGTAACATACCTGCCAATAAGTGACGTCAACGTCAACGTAGAAATAGCTATCATATGTATCGTTTATTCCGTAATAATAAAAACTGTCGTTATGCTGTGGACATCCAAACGTGCAATTTTCCAAATAATATCTCGAATCATCCATTTTAAAATAGTGAAACGTCAATTCTATAAATCCGTGTTATGTTTCGAAATACATATTAGCACAACAAATACCCATATCTCAACCTGACATGACAATTTGTATCAAACGATTCGGAAAGTAATACTTTTTCAGAGAAATAATAACATTAAAATGTTAAAACATATTTTTATCTTTAATTCTTAAACAAAAATCATTCAGAATACATAATTATCGTGAACATTAAGTAGTCTAAATTGAAAACGAAAGCCTTATAACTGCGATTTTTATATCGACAAATTGCACTTTTAATGTACTCCTCTGGAAGGTTAATGTATAAGAATTATATATTTGTTTCCTTTTGCCTAAAAGTTTGCTTCAAATTTCTAAATAAACACAGATACTATAATCTTAAATCAAATTTCTTGCTTTGGAATTACCAATACTTTTATTATCATCCTCGCATCATAAGTGATATTGCCGAAATCACAGAATAATTTTCAGTTTATTATCCTCACAACATAAATGATATTGCCGATATCACAGAATAATTTTCAGTTTATTATCCTCACAACATAAATGATATTGCCGATATCACCGAACAATTTTCAGTTTATTATCCTCACAACATAAATGATATTGCCGATATCACAGAATAATTTTCAGTTTATTATCCTCACAACATAAATGATATTGCCGATGTCACCGAACAATTTTCAGTTTATCATCCTCACAACATAAATGATATTGCCGATATCACCGAACAATTTTCAGTTCATCATCTTCACAACATAAATGATATTGCCGATATCACCGAATAATTTTCAGTTTATCATCCTCACAACATAAATGATATTGCCGATATGACCGAATAATTTTCAGTTTTTGTCTTTTTTGTCTTTTAAACTTCAATGAGTACTTAACAACATTTCTTTTTAAATCACTCCTTTTCAAAAGTGTTCGCAACTTGTAAATACACTGTCCAGCTATCACCTAAAAATATAATGTGTTTACCTTATATAATCGTTTTAGAGCGAATAATAGTATGTAACAGTAAAACCGATAATACACAAAAAGACACTGAAGAAAGAAAAGTAGTATAATGTACTTTAACGTTTGCTGCTTGGCTGCTGGTTATCTTTGTAATTAGTTGTAGTCATTCATTTATTCATTCATTCATTCATTCAATCATTCAATCATTCATTCATTCATTCATTCAATCACAAACTTTTACTAGACAATATCAGCAAGCAAGGCAATTGTAAAATGACTCTCAATATTAAATAAAAGTTCCATATAATTATGTGGAACAAATTGAGGGTTAATAATTCGTCTGTACCATGTTATACCCTTTCTGTAACTTCATTATATATATGCAGCGTTAACTCTTATCCTTCATATTTGATAAACAAGTATCAAAATAAAGAAAGACGTTTAGAATTAAGCAAAATGCAGCTTTTATTTCATTTTGGTTTAGTTTTACGTCGCTTCAACACAGGAGGCTTTTAATTCTTACTTAATTATTGCAATGTGTTTTACATTCAACGGGTATACATTCGTTTGTTTTGCATCTTAATATTTAACAAGGATAATTGTCTCATATTAGAAGTGAATATATTTCTAAATGTGCGTCGTTTAATTTAAAATTATTTCACGTCATTATTACGTTATTTTTAAGAAACTTAAACTATTGATTTAGATGGAAGATGTTAACACTGTTCAACATAAATAAGTTTGCATGTTCTTCCATGGCCTTCTTGCTTAATTATATCACTATCAAGATATAAGAACCTTATATCATATCTAATATGTAATTGGTCGTTATAGAGAGATTAAGCAGAACGTGGTTCTTTCAGGTCACAACATACTTGTACTTAAATTTGACGAGAGCATATCATTCGATTAAACGTATAAAGAAACAGAATAATTCAAATGCATCGGAAAAGATCCTGACGTCGCCGGGATTCGACCTCACAAAGACATAGACATTTTTTGATAAGCGACAGTAAAATCGTTTAAGACCACTGAGCCAAAAAGTCGATTCGATTCCTTGAGACAGTGACTTCAGAGGTTGCACTTATATTTATAAAGTTAGGTTTGCACACAACCGTGAAAACGCATAAATGTGTAATCAGTCCTGAAGAAAAGCACCTTTCAAAACTATATCAGTAATGATATATAATTTGTTATCCGTAAATGTTGAAGTTTATTGGTAATTAATTTAAAAGAGGAATAATTCCACATACACATTTTGCATAAAATTTAATCTATATAAGTTTTGTTCCGAGTTTACAATTATTTCATTGTATCCCCAATACCATTAACTGTACAACTTAACATGTAAAGAGTTATCATAACAGATACCAATATATCTAAAATATTACATACGTTAGCAAAACACACAGCTGATTTACCGGAGTCCAAACCCATTGCCGCTTATTTATTTCATTTGGGTAATTGGAATTTATCTCTTTGTTGCAAAAATATGGTAACATTTCCGGTCAATGGTCATTGTCTTATTAAAGGAAAGACGTGGTGATTTTACAGTGCCAAAGTGATAATTACATTTGGAAATGAAATATGTTTTAATTGCTATAAGATGAGATAGTTTTACCGAAATATTGCTATGGCTCAATAGTTCTAATAGGAAATAGGATGTAGTTTGATAATACGGGTGAGCAGAAGGTCATAAAGGTCATTTTATATCTGTGTCAAATAAATGAAGCTTCCAAAAGCCGTACATAATATGATAATCTTGAAATTGAAGATCCTTCTAGAGCAATGAAAGAAAAGTTGAATAGTGAAACATTTCAGATTTTGTGTGTGTGAATCTGTTCATGGGAGTGCAAAATATCTAGCCCCTTAGTAACAAAATAAACTGTATTCAATTTACTACATAATGAGGTATTGGTAATCAAAATTTCCAAAACGACCAGAAAAATGTAATAGAACTGAAGTTAAGTACATGGCAAGTTAACATATGCCAAACTTTTCATATTCTGTTATGAGTATAAAAATGGAAAAGTAAATCTTCCACAAGCGAATTCATTCTACAAAGTATAAAAGCGAAAATTACAGATTTCCATGACATGGCATGATTGTGTCTCTTCACTCTTTGTTCATAATCCATGATTTTGTATTAGATTATAGTCGCCTAATGACTTTGATAAATCATGGAATTGAAGAAGATTACGGAATTATCAGGTCTTATGAGTAAATCATTATTTCATTTAATACCTTCTTTTCTGGAAATAAAAACAGGCGGCTTTTGTAAACATGTAGAGGAATTAATACTCACCATGCAGGGAATTATGACTAGCTTAACAAGCATTCAAGATGAAAGGAATTTCAAATTACTAAAACACTAAAAGTCCATCTCTTAAAAATTAGTTCAGTCTTATTTTTTATTCACGGTTTGGGATTATATTTTAACATGCGTAGCTAAAACACAATTGTTCTTCCACTATTACAAACGCATTCAGGGCCTTTTCAGATGTTTCTGAAAGAAGATATATTTAAATATATTAAAAGCTGCATGTTAATAATTCATATTAACAGAAATAGCTACATTTTTTTAATGAAAAAAAAGGGTTTCATATCTACTACCTTTTTTATTATGGTGACCAGACGACAACACTGAGCTTTATAAGCGTACATTTTTCTTGAAATAGTCAATGACGTTTTAACAACAATAATTTTGAAATAAATGTGATGTCTAGAATTTCAACGTAGTGAAAACTCTTAATTTAAAATATTGTTCCAACGAAATGGAATAAGATGGACTTGACGTCATTGAATTTAACGAACGTAATTGCAACGAATTTTCTTTCAGTCAATATAATAAATGAAATTATGAAAATACATTTCATCAATTATATTTAAAAGTTTTTTAGTGTAACTCTAATTGGCAGCATTAGTTAATTTACGGTAGAAGTGTAAAGAATTGCTGGCGACTATATGCAGAAAATAATTGTAACTAGTAGAAAAGCAGGGTTCTGGAATGTTTTCCCAATCCAACAGAAAAAATATTCTCATATTACCACTTAAAACTTATATCACTGAAATTTCAGCCATCTAAATCAGAATGATGAATACCCTGAAAAGCATTTTAAACCATGATATTTTTCATTATATTATTTTATTCATCATCATTTTTTAAACAGTCAATCTTATCACATAGCTGCCATGTTGATAAGCAAAAAAAAAAGGAAAAAATAGAAAATAGGAAAAACAAAAGAAAATCAGATTAAAATGAAAATACAATATCATATAAAAAAGTATTTATCCATTGCTAAAGGTTCTTGTTAACCGGTCCAAAATTTACAGCAATTTGAAAAAAAGTTTAAATAAATCCAACACGGACAAACGATTATTCGGCAACGATATATTATAACAGAACATCACGAAAAGGTGTATTAATTTTTATCTGAATATTTAACAGGAAAACTGCTTAATATAAAGGATAACGTAGAAAATAAGAACTTGATATTTAGATATTGCCAGGTCCCGATTATTTATACATGTCCGTGTTTTTTTTCCAATTGGAAAATATCTTTACAAAGTGAATGCTTAAAACACCTTATTTTAATTGAGCACGGGTGTAAAAAATTTAAAGCTTTGGGTTTTTTAATTTAATTTGGGGCACCCGGGTTTAAAAGAAAACTAAAATTTTCAAATTTAATAGATTGAATTTATTTTTATATTTTTTCTTTTTCCCCATTTTCCCTTTGGGTTTTAATAAAATCTTTGACTTAAAAGTAAAAGGAAACAAATTTTTCCCCCAAACATCAGATACATCTTTATATGTATTTTTTTTTGGGTTTTGTTGTGAACAAAAATTAAATAAAAGGCTTCCTAAAAACTTTTTTTTAAGTAAAAAAAATTTTTAAGGGTTTAAAATTAAATTTAATAATTTTTAATTTTTCGCCCCCCACCAATTTTTAAAGCATTTTAAACAGAAATTTTGTTTGTTTAAAAGTACAATATAGTTTTTTGGGCCCCTTTAAAAAGGGAAATTCAAAGGCAAAATTTTAAGTT